ATTAATTGAGCATAATGGCTTGGGTTGATTTCTGGGGTCTCCGTTCAATTCCATTGATCTATATGTCTGTTCTTGTGCCAGTACCAGGCTGTTTTGATTATAGTGGTTTTGTAGTATAACCTGATATCTAATCTGGTATTGTGATTCCTCCAACTTTGTTTTTTCTCAAGATTGCTGCGACTGTTCAGTATCTTTTTAGGTTCCATATAAATTTTGGAGTATTTGTTCTAGATCTGTGAAATAATGCCGTGGGTAATTTAATAGGGATTGCATTGGATCTATAGATTGCTTTGGGTAGTATGGACATTTTAATGATGTTGATTCTAGCAATCCATGAACATGGTATATTCTTCCACTTGTTTATATCTTCCTCTGTCTCTTTTTTCAACATCTTATAGTTTTCAGAGTACAAATCTTTTACATCTTTGGTTTCATTTATTCCTAGGTATCTTAATTTTTTTTTTTTGTTGCTATGGCAAATGGGATTGTTTAGTTTCTCTTTTGAGAATTCCTTATTGGTATATAAAAATGCCATTGATTTTTCAATGTTAATTTTTTGTACCCTGCTACATTGCCGAATTGCTTTATTATATCTACTAGTATTTTGGTGGAGTCTTTAGTGTTTCCTATATACAATATCATGTCATCTGTGAATAGTGAGAGTTTTGCTTCCTCCTTTTCAATTTGGATGCCCTTTATTTTTTCTTCTTGTCTGATCGCTGTGGCTAGGACTTGCAGTGCTATCTATAATAATAAAAGCATAATATGCTCATTAGACCTGACATCCTGCCAGATGAAGCCGGGGCTGTGAGGGCCGAGGCAAGCAGCAGTGGCTGCGATTGACCAGCCGGCTGTGGTGGGTGGGCGGGGCCTCCCTCTGTGAGTGAAGCCCTGGTCCTGGGTGCCGGAGGGAAGCCGGTGCCAGCACCCAGAGGAAGGAAGGCCTACTCTTGCAAGAATTTTGTGCATCGGGCCTCTAGTTTGAATAAGAGTGGTGAAAGTGGACACCCCTGTCTTGTTCCTGTCTTAGGGGAAATGGTTTTAGTTTTCACCCATTGAATATGATGTTGGTTGTAAGTTTATCATATAAGGCCTTTATTATATTGAGGTATGATCCCTCTATTCCCACATTGCTGAGAGTTCTTTTATCAAAATGGGTGTTGGATTTTGTCAAATGCCTTTTCTATGTCTACTGATATGGTCATGTGATTTTTGTCTTTCAGTTTGTTTATGTGATGTATCACGTTTATTGATTGCAAATATCGCTGGAATAAATCCCACTTGGTCATGGTGTATGATCTTTTTAATATGTTGTTGGATCCGATTTGCTAGAATTTTGTTGAGGATTTTAGCATCTATATTCATCAGGGATATTGGCCTGTCGTTCTCTTTCTTTGTAGTGTCTTTCTCTGGTTTTGGAATTAGGATAATGCTGGCTTCAAAAAAGAGCTTGGACGTGTTCCTTCCTCTTGAATTTTTTGGAATAGTTTGAGGAGAATAGGTGTTAGTTTTTTTTTTTTTTTAATGTTTGGCAAAACTCCTCTGTGAAGCTGTCTGGACCAGGGCTTTTGTTTGATGGAGTTTATTATTATTATTATTATTATTATTATTATTACTGCTTCTATTTCATCAGCTGTTATGGCCTAGTCAGGTTTTCTGATTATTCCTGATTCAGTTTGGAAGATTGTATTTTTCTAGGAATTTGTCCATTTCACCCACATTGTCCAGCTTGTTGGCATATAGTTACTCATAGCATTTTCTTACAATTCTTTCTATTTCTGTGTGTCAGTGGTTACTTCTCCGCTTTTATTTCTGATTTTATTTATTTGGGTCCTTTTTCTTTGTTTCTTACTGAGTCTGGCTAACAGTTCATCAATCTTGTTTATCTTTTCAAAGAACCAGATGCTGGTTTCATTGATCTTTTGTATTGTTTTTTAAGTCTCTATGTCATTTATTTCTGCTCTCCTTTATTGTTTCCTTCCTTCTACTTACTCTGAGCTTTTCTTGTTCTCTTTTTAATTCTTTAAGTTGTTGGGTTAAATAGTTTATTATTAATTTTTCTTGTTTTTTGAGGTAGGCCTGTAGTACTATGAACTTCCCTCTCAGAACTGCTTTTGCTGTGTCCCAGAGATTTTGGGTTGTTTTGTGTTCATTTTCATTTGTTTCCAGGAATTTTTTTAATTTCTTTCTTGATCTCATTGGTAGCCCATTCATTGTTTAATAACATGCTATTTAGTCTCCATATGTTTGAATGTTTTTGAGTGTTTATACTGTAGTTGATTTCTTAAAAATATATATTTTTTATTGATTTCAGAGAGAAAGGGAGAAGGAGGGAGAGATAGAAACATCTTTGATCAGAGAGAATCACTGATTGGCTGCCTTCTGCACGCCGCCTCCTGGGGGTTGAGGCCGCAACCTGGGCATGTGTCCTGACCAGGACTTGAACTGTGACCTCCTGGTTCATAGGTCGATGCTCAACCACTGACCCATACCAGCCGGGCTGTAGTTAATTTCTAATTTCATTCCATTACAATCTGAGAATATGCTTAATATGATTTCAGTCTTCTGGGAACTTGTAGAGACTTGTTTTGTGTTCTAACATGTGACCTATCTTTGAGAATAACCCAAGTTCACTTGAAGCTATATTCTGCAGCTTTGGGGTGAAATGTTCTATAAATGTCAATTAAATCCATCTGATCCAGTGTGTCATTTAGCGTCATTGTTTCCTTGTTTTTGTCTGGAAGATCTATCCAGTGAAGTTAGCGGGGTGTTAAAGTCTCCTACTATGACTATATTGCTGTCAATCTCTCTTAAAGTCCTCCAGAAGTTTTAATATATTTAGGTGCTCATATACTGGGTACATATATGTTGACCATTGTTATATCCTCTTGTTGCATCAACCCCTTTAGTATTATTTAGTGACCTTTATTGTCTCTTGTGATGGCCTTCATTTTGAAGTCTATTTTGTCAGATATGAGTATTGCCACTCCAGCTTTTTTTGTTTGTTTCCATTTGCATGGAAATTTTTTTTCCATCCCTTCACTCTCATCCTTTGTGTCTTTTTTCTGAGGTCTCTTGTGGACAGCATATATTTGGGCCATGTTTTTGTATCCATTCAACTACCCTATGTCTATTGATTGGAGCATTTAATCCATTTACATTTAAGATTTTTATTGATAGGTATTTATTGCCATTTTAATTCTTTATGTCTGTGTTTCTCTCTGTTTCTTCTTCTCATTACAGCAGTCCCTTTAGCGTTTCTTGCAATGCTGGTTTGGTGGTGACAAACTCCTTTAGCCTTTTTTTGTCTGGGAAGCTCTTTATTTCCCCATCTTGAGATAGCCTTGCTGGATTTTTAAAAAATATAATAATATGGATTATTACTTTTAAAAATATTTTTTAATTGACTTTAGAGAGGAAGGGAAAGGGAGATAGAGATAGAAACATCAGTGAGGAGAGAGCATCATTGATCGGCTGCCTCCTGCACACCCTCTACTGAGAACCGAGTACACAACCTGGACATGTGCCCTGACCTGGAATCGAACCGTGATCTCCTGGTTCATAGGTCAATGCTCAACCACTAAGCCACACCACCTGGGCAAGTGTGAGCTGTTTTTTTTTTATGTTAAAAATCAAAACTACATATTTCAGAAATGAACTGAGTACCCAGGTAGAGGAGTAAAGATTAAACGAACTTTAAAGCTAAGTTTGAGTGCCAGGACCCTCGCCTGATGCTGAAAAAGACTAGTCACCAAGGAAGTCTGAGGTGCCCACTGCGGCCTTCCAAGGTCCAGGGGTGGGGCTTACCTGGGTAGGGATTGTTTCTGCAGGCATTTGGAGCTGTGGAAGCCATTTCTGACCGGATCTGCATCCTTACCAATGGGCATGTCAACGTGGAGGTGTCTGCCGAGGACCTGCTCACCTGCTGTGGCTTCCAGTGTGGAGAAGGGTGAGTCTGAGGCAACACCTTCCATGAGGGAATGGCACCTGGGAGACCTGGGCTGAGGCCTCCTCTGGTGGAGGGTGACTGAGGCTCCCTGGGGTGGGAGTGACATTGAGGACAGATGTGGTCGAGGCACTGTGGGAATCTGGGGAATCTGGAAGCAGGCCCTAGTATGGCTGCTGCTTTCTGGAAGGCTCCTAAACCCAGGCTGGCCCCACAGGGCTGGCTGTGGGTGGTGGGGTCTGGGCAAAACAGATGGGCTCAGGATTCGTGGTTAAATTTCTGATCTCAGATCCGATTTTTCTGCTCAAGGCAATGTAATAGCCTCAGGACCTGTTTCCTTATCTGTAGTTAATGATGGGTTCCCCAGATTGCTCACACTGCCTCCTGTGCTTCCCTCTAAAAAGAAAAAGGTGTGTCCACCAGTTAAGTTTGAATTCTGGCACTGGTGTTTTGGTTAGTACCCTGGGGAATTCGGTGTGCTCCCTCATTGAGAACCCCTGTTCTAGAAAGGACACAACCTGGTTTGGTGTAGACAGGAATCCGAGTGTCCTTCTGTCTTCTCGAGGGTCTTGGTGGGTGGGGTGGAGAGCTTGGGTGATTCCCTGGAAGGGACGATCCAGGGGAGAATGAATTGGGGGTCTGTTGGGACCTGGGAGAACCGTTGGGCCACTTGCCGAAGGCAGTGGTGGCTCCACCAGGCAGTGGTCTGGGAGCAGCTAGCACCTCTCTCACGATGACTTTTAATGAATGGCTCTTTTCTTAGCTGTAATGGGGGCTTTCCCTCTGGCGCTTGGAACTTCTGGACAAAAAAAGGCCTGGTGTCTGGTGGCCTCTATGACTCCCATGTAGGTGAGTGTCGGCCCTGAGTTCCTATCTAGCCAGATGGATTTTATAAGCAGTAACTAAGGATGGTCTCATTTTCCACTATAAAGAAGATTGAGGGTTGAGGGTGAGAGTACTGGGCTGGAAAACAGGGTAGAAAGACAAGCCAATCCTCTCAATGGCAAAATTAGCAATGGGGGTGGGGGGTGGGGGGGAGAACAGACCCAGGCTGCAGACTTGGGGGTATCTACTGTTCCTGTGAGTCATCATCCTAATTCTTTCTGGCCTCGAAAAGTCTCTGTAGGGGCTGTTGGCCAAGACCTTCCTTTCTACTTGGTCCCTACAGGTTGCAGACCCTACTCCATCCCTCCCTGTGAGCACCACGTGAATGGCTCTCGGCCCTCATGCACAGGGGAAGGGGGGGAAACCCCGCAGTGTAGCAAGATCTGTGAGCCGGGCTACACCCCATCCTACAAAGAAGATAAACACTACGGTAAGCACACTGGGCCTGAGACCCGCTGACAGCCTTCCCAAGCCAAAAGAAGAGGCCAGGGCAGCTGAGTCTTGAGTCAGGAACACGGGATGGAGCAAGGAAGGGCATTAATGCCTCTTGCCTGCCTGCTGTGTTTTCTGTCTCCACCCCGAATTCCATCTCAGGGATGTGGTCTTAGGAGTCAGACCCTCAGAGTTGGAGGGGACCGAACCCCTTGTACAGGGGAGTGACCTGGTCCAGTCCTCCTGGTCCAGTCCCACTCTGCCCTCAGGGCCACATTCTCCCACTTCTCAACTTCCAGATCCAGTCCAATCACTCCTCCCTCGGGGTTCCTGGTCACCACCACCCCTCCCGTCCCCCCCTCTCCCCCTCCGCAGACTGGGCAAGTCCCCTAGATGCTCAGTCTTCACCTGGTGGCTCCCCATAAATCAGTGAATTGGCTGGTGGAGCCTTTGGAGGCACGTCTCACCCCACCTGCTGGTTTTTTTGCTAGGATGCAAGTCATACAGCGTCCCCAGTAGCGAGAAGGAGATCATGGCAGAGATCTACAAAAATGGCCCAGTGGAGGCAGCCTTCTCCGTGTATTCAGACTTCCTGATGTACAAGTCTGGCGTGTACCAACATGTCACTGGAGAAATGGTGGGAGGCCATGCAGTCCGCATTCTGGGCTGGGGGGTAGAGAATGACACCCCCTACTGGCTGGTAAGCAACTCCTTTCAGGTGGGCCAACAGGTCCTGATCAGAGGGGGAAGGCAGGGTACCCAGAAGGGCAGTGCCAGGCCTCCCCTCACCGGGCTCTGCAGACCCCTCAGCAGCTGCCTCTGCTCTGCTTTCTTGCACCTGTTTGCCTCTTCTGCACATGCTATTCGGATCCCGCTGCAATGTTTTTATATGGCTAGTTCCTGCTCATTCCATTCATCCCTGAATAGCCAGCTCAAAGATCTCCCAGGGGAGTCTTTCCTCCCCTTCCTGGAGCCTCTGGCTCCCGCCTCCATTCTCCTCCGTTGCTCTGTCAGCATATCCATCACCTTGTAACTGCAGATTTTGTGTCTGGGTTGAGTGACCTTCTTTATTCATCTTTTCTTGGCAAAGCCCGAGCCTCATGCCTACCACCCCCATGGACAAGGAAACAGGGACCTAGCCAGTCCTCGGCCTGAGAGCTGTCTTAGAAACCCCTCACCCCCGATGAACAGTCTGAGCTGACCACTTGTCTCATGTACATGCTGCTAAATTGAAAACTCCACAACTCTCAACTCTTAGAAAGGATTAGACCAGTGGTTCTCAACCTTCCTAATGCCGCGACCCTTTAATACAGTTCCTCATGTTGTGGTGACCCCCAATTTCATTGTTACAAATTGAACATAATTAAAGCATAGTGATTAATCACAAAAACAATATGTAATTATATATGTGTTTTCCAATGGTCTTAGGCGACCTCTGTGAAAGGGTGGTTTGATCCCCAAAGGGGTAGCGACCCACAGGTTGAGAACCGCTGGATTAGACAAAAGAAGATGATTCTGACAAGAAAAAAATACTATAAAGCTGGTAATTTTTAAAAAATATATCTTTATTGATTTGAGAGAGGGAGAGAGAGAAACATCAATGATGAGAACCATTGATTGGCGCCTCCTGCACACCCCCTACTGGGGATCGAGCTTGTAACCCAGGCGTGTGCCCTGGACCTGAATAGAAACTGGGACCCTTCAGTCTGCAGGCCCACGCTCTATCCACTGAGCCAAACCAGCTAGAGCTAAAGTTGGTAGTTCTTAGCACAGCCCCCATGTTAGTTAAGAATACATTTCCAGCAAAGTGACTCACTAGGGTACAGCTGGCTGGCCAGCTCCCTGAGCACTTTTTCTCTCCCATTGATTGACACTGGCTCCACCAGCTCAGCTCTTTTCTGCATCTCCTCTCTGGAGACCCCAGAGCAGCAGATGAACTCTCCGCCACACACTGCTTTCGACAAATCATTACATGGAGTCCTAGTATGTAAAACAGACCATTGGTATTTAAACGTTAAATTATTTCTTAAATTCTAATTTATAACTTTAGTTTTAAAGGCAATCAACAGGCATGTTTCATTGGACTCCCATTTTAATGTTTACTCAACATAATTGTGTGTTGGGCTTTCAAAAATATATTCAAATAACTCCCAAATAGAGAACCCCCGTTTGAAGACAATAGTAGACCTTTTGGGCCCCGATTATCCTGCCTGGGGAGCCAGCTGACGTGGAGGGGTGCTGTGAGGGATGGGGCGGTGGCTGGGTCTCAGCCTGACTGGTGTTTTCCTTTCTCAGGCGTGTACCAACATGTCACTGGAGAAATGGTGGGAGGCCATGCAGTCCGCATTCTGGGCTGGGGAGTGGAGAATGACACCCCCTACTGGCTGGTTGGCAACTCCTGGAACACTGACTGGGGTGACAATGGTGAGTGCCGCTCCCTTCCTGCTAAGAATAGGGTGTTACAAGCCAGAACACAGTTGTCATCTTATCTTCCTCTGCTCTACCCACTGCACAGCTCCAAACCCTAGGCTTAACTGTGACTTTCCAGGTGCTAGTGGGCTAGTTTCCCTCTGCCCCAAGGGCAGCTTCTGATCCTGAGAGAGGGTGGTAGGGAGCAGGGCCCAGCTTCAGATCGCTGTGCTCCCATCCCCTTGCACCAGATGCAGTGACAGGTGACATGGGGTTGATGGGGAGCGGGGCTGCTGTGCAAACAGTGGAAGCTGGTAGAGCACCCTGATGCTGGGTTGGTGTCTGTTTGGTGACTTTCGCTCCTGGGTCTTTCAGGGATGAGTCTGAATATGTTGGCAAGGCCCCAAACCCAAGACGCACTTTAAAGGCATCTTACTTTTGCTTTCCAGGCTTCTTTAAAATCCTCAGAGGACAGGATCACTGTGGAATTGAGTCGGAGATCGTGGCTGGACTCCCCTGCACGGACCAGTACTGGAAAAGGATCTAACCCGCTGTGGGCCCTTCCAGCCAGCCCTGGGGCAGTGTTTCCTGAAATATAGCCATTGGGGCTGGGGGTGAGATGAGGGGTAGGAATGTCTTTTATTCTTTGAGTACAAATGGGTTTTAGACAGGGCCTGAAGGACTGGATTGGGCCAAACCTTGTGTCTACCATGAGAGCAGTCTTCCAAGGAGACACAGCCAAGGCCTGCCTACCTCCCAGGCCACTCAGTGGACTGTTGTCACAATGCATTTAAACCACTGCTACACGCAACGCAAGTCCTTCCCCCTTAGGCTAGTGCTGCTCGGCTCTTCCTGCAACCACCTCCACATCCTTCGTCCTTCTCCATCTGTGCATCACCAGGGAGCATGATAGGCCTACAGGGTTCGCAGTTTTTCCAAAGGAACGAAAGGTGGATTTCCTAATGGTAGCTTCCCGTGCATCCCACCATCAGCAGTACCTCTGAGCAAGCAGCTTTCTAATTTGGAAATAGGTTGAGAAGAGAATAGTGGGGCAGCCCTTTGGAAAAAGCCACTCTCCCGGGGCTCCTGCATCTGTCGAGCTTTGCAGTGTTGCTAACCTGCTCTGATCTTGGCATGATTTTTAAATAGAAGTTTTATTTTTTTGTGCACCTCAGCTGATCATGAGAATGAAGTAGTCTAATGTTGGAAGAGCTGTAGTAGTTTTACCAACTGTCTCCTTAAACTGGGTGGTCTTGATTTGACTGACTTACTGACCTCTTAATACAATGAAAATAGAGAGAAACCAGCCTTTATTGTTTAAAAATCACTGCTATACCCTATTAAAGAAGGAATACTGTGCCAATAAAAGGTTTCTCCTTCAATGTCAGGTCTGTTCTGGTGGGACCTCAAAGATCATTTGTCTGTAGATTCGTGGCTGCTGTCTATCCTTATCCCACAGAAAGAATCATGGGCTCATGGATCTGGGTGCTCTTTAAACTCTAATCAGGGCTGTCAGTCGAGGGGAACAAAGTAAATACCTAATTTTAGCTTCTCTCCACTCCAGCATCCTTTCAGACCACAGCTTCTCTCTTTTTAGTCCCTGTCACAACCCATGTCCTGCTGGAGGACCAGCTTTCCCTGGCGCCTCCCACTGCTGGAATGGGGTGGAGGCAGAGCCTGGTGCGCTCCTTTGCAAGTTCCCTGTGACTTTAATTTACTGCTGGTTAAGAAAGATTCCTTTGGATAGGCCTAGCTAAGAATCATAAGCCACAAGAGACACCAGTTCTTGAGGGGAACAGAGGCAACTTGAAGAATCAATACCCATCCCACTGGCCTGTCAATATCTTATTTCCCTTCCCCACCTGAGAGTTGGACTAGCTCTTCCCAAAATCATGACGTTTGACTTCTGATGTGACTCAGAAGAATCAGAAGCTCCTAAGATAACTTCTTAAACACCCAGTGAACACTAGGAAAAATCTGTGAAACCCAGCATAGCATTTACCAAAGCTGTAAATTCATAACATTTTATTAACATTTAGATGAGAATATGTTCATAACCCCAATGAAGTTATTTACCTACTCCCACACTGAGTTGAATAATTCCATTTTCACGCACTTTCTCCTACCTCCACAGTGTTCCCTGCAACTCAGTCCTCATCCCAGAAGCCAGGAGGGATGTGCAAGATGATGTAACATGATGGTCATCTTCACATTTGGCTTAAGGAGTTTTTGTTAGAAAAAAATAGGGATCAGCATCAATAAACCTCAAGTTATCACCATTGATCATTACCTCAGCTACCACTGTGAGGAGGAATCAGGTAGACTGCATGCCAGGAATGCCATACATTTTATTAATTACATTAAAGTGTGGTATAAAGGGCAGGGTTGCCAGGTTCAGCAAATAAAGATACAGGATGCCCAATTTGATCTGAATTTCAGACAATGTTTTTAGTATGTGTGCTGAGAAACGAACAATTTTTTATATAAATATGTCTCATGCGATATTTGGGATATAATTATACTTAAATTTATCCGAGTTTTAACTGGGTTTCACCCTGCATTTCATCTGGCAGTTTTAGTAGAAAAAACATTTAAAAGGGAAACATCTGAAGTCTCAAGAAAGGGAGCAGGTGTGGGCCTGAGATCTAAGACCTCTACACAAGTCAGTGATGTAAAAATTCCACCGCTTTCCAGCTGGGAGGGACCTAAGGTCACCAAACCACACAAGCTCGGCAAGTCCCACAGGTCGTGGCTGAGCCACAGGAGAAGCTTCCGGGATGTCCACCTCAGACCAAGGCTCTGTCCACCATGAACTTCAGAGCTCACCTTAGACTTCACACAAATTCTTAACCCGTCCTGGAATCTCAAAGCAAGTTTGTCTTTTTGTTTTTTTTAATATATTTTATTGATTTTTTACAGAGAGGAAGGGAGAGGGATAGAGAGTTAGAAACATCGATGAGAGAGAAGCATCGATCAGCTGCCTCCTGCACACCCCCTACTGGGGATGTGCCTGCAACCAAGGTACATGCCCTTGACCGGAATCGAACCTGGGACCCTTGAGTCCGCAGGCTGACGCTCTATCCAGTAAGCCAAACCGGCCAGGGCTCAAACCAAGTTTTGATGCTTTAAACCTCTTGGAAGATTACTATTGAGTCTGGTTCACAGCTGAATGGTGGGTACATGGCAAGTCACTAGTTTGTCCAGGGCTGAGCCTCAAATGAACCAATTATCTGAAGCTTTCCTGGACCGAAAAACTAAGCCAACTGTCCGGTGGCGGCTGTCAGGAGGAAAATCAGTGTGGGCATGTGTACAACAATGCAAATCCAACACCACTGCTGGAAAAACCTCAAATTCACCAAGTCACACTTCATAAAGGACTGCAGCAGAGAGTAGTCTATATGCTATATACACCCAGAGAGCACTACTGGCTTCTAGAAAGCACTGGGCTGCGCCCTACAGGCGATTCTCAGCCTGAGGGGCTTCAGGCACCCCTAGTGGGGCCAGGTCCCCCCCTAGTCCAAGCTGAGATCTCAGCGAGTCACTGGGTCAGAGTACATCACAAAACGGCTGTGCTGGGAAGGAGGAAGGTGAACACAGCGCTAGAATTGGGCTGTGTACCATTCAGCTTTCAAGCCAATCACCTGAACATGGCTTTTGCCTTTCTTGAGACTTCAGTGTATAAACTGGTAACGAAAAGAAACAAAAGCTGAGTTTAAAACCCTGAAAGCAGCTAAGGGAACTGGCCAAAAGCAGAGAAGGCTGGCAGCTAATCAGGCTACCAGCTGGAGCAGAGCGGCGGCTGCCATGGGCCCCCTTCCCAGCTCCCAGCGGGCCGTCATGCAGGGGCCAGGCAGCTGTGTCCTTATTGGTACTGCGCCAGGTGGCATCATGGTGCCATCCGTCCCTCAAGCACTAATTCCATCCTTGAGTTCCTTTATCTGCCACACTCACCCAAGCTTTCAAGTGAACTGCATTTGACCACTGCAGAGTAATTCATTATTTTACAAAATCAAAAACAGCCTTAACGAGACCAATCTTCAACAATGACGCTTAGGCAATCTTTCTGAAAGGTAACCTCTTCAAAGAAGAAAATGCTACCAGACACCATGAAGTTAATTCCCAGCCTTCAAGTGCAGAACATGGTCTGTATTCGTAGGAAACAGAAAAATTACCCAGAGCTGTCAACTTCACAGCTATTACCTTCAAATCAACTGAAGAAAAAAATGAGAAAAACAAACGAACATGAAGAAAATTCAGTTCACTTTTCTACTAGGATAAGAGATCAAAGGTTGCTTTAAATTAAACACATTTAATTATAACTAGTCAGGATGCACACAGATCTGTCAGGCGTCCCAGGGCAACCACTTCCCGACCTGCACCACCGAGTGTGCACCATCAGCCACCATGTGCAGGTGAGCACAACCCACAGGTCCCAGGTGCTGAGGGTGAGGGATCCTCTTTTATTCTCTTCTCAGCTGCACCTCAGTTTCTCAGGGTCCAAGCCCACAGAATTACAGGATTAAAGCAGGAGGGGAGAAAAGGGGAAGCCAATATCCCTCTTTGAAAAAAAGGTCAGTCTATTTCATGGTGAACAAATCAGTGTTCTCCGGTCTGGACATAGTCTTCTGTGACCTGAGATAGGGTACTCACATACTGCCAGCTCAGGGCAGCCAGGAGCATGAGAAATGACAGGTAAATGGGGGAGTAGTGGCTTCGGGAGGTCAGCTGACAGCTGGGAAGATTCTGTGTTCTGATGGTGGAGATGATCTGCCTGGTTTTACTGGAAGATGAATCTGAGTTGGGGATTCTGTGATAGATCTGTTAACAAAAGGAAAAGACAGTAAGTGCTACTTACTGAGTCCTAGGACCTATATAAACGTAGTGTGTTGACTTCTTACAACAACTCCAAATAGGTAGGGATTTTATGCCCATTTTACCAAACAGAACATGAAAGTAATAACCCCAAGTCACTCCACCAATAGGGCAGGCTATCAACCCAGGCCTGTGTAATCCCAAAGCCTGCCGTACAGAGCAAGCAGGGAGGCCTGAGCCATGCTGCACCAGGAGCTACTGGTCCTCAATGATCATCCATCCCCACACCTCCCATAGCCAGGAGCACAGTAGGTGCTTGGTAATGTCAGCATAGTTTCTAGGCTGAAGCAGCATATGACAAAGGGGAAACAATACCGGAAAGACTAGCAGACGCAGCTTAGGACAAGACTGAATCTGTGGGATGGGCAACAGACTGGATGAAGAAAGGCAAGAACAGAAACAGATCATCTGAGTCATCCTAAAGTCCTCCCTGCACCTCCACACCTACCTCCTCTGCAAACCTCTGAAACATCCGCTGAACCCACTCCTCCTCCACATGCCTCCAATTACAGCCCCTGGTTCGGACCCCAGTGACTCTCCTCTGGGTTATACCAGCCTCCAAAGTGAGCTCCTGACTTTATGCTGGACTACCAAAATCCACTCGTCTGTTCTCCACACTGTCAGAGATCTAAAACCTCCGCTTGACAACCTCAGTGGCTCCCTACTGCCAGCTGAGTAAGGTCTGAGCTCCTGATGTAGAGCGCAAGGCTGCAATGACCTGGGCCCGCCAACCTCCCTTCTTCACACTCGAGAAACAAAGGCCTGTGTTGTTTTACATGTGCTACTACTACTGCACACTGTTCCTTTCTTTGCTCACACCACTCCCTCTCCTGGAATGCTGTTCCCACACTCCTTTACCTAGCTCTTACCTATCGCCCAAGACTTAAGTTTGCCATTATGTCTTCTAGAACAGCAGTCGCCAACTGGTGGTCCGTGAGGTCCGAAAGGTTGGTGACCACTGTTCTAGAAAACTTGCCTTGACCCCACCCCCCGGTTGGGCCTAGTGCCACTCTCCTGTACATAGTCCTACCTTACCTCTTACATTGAAATCATCTAGCTGCTCCCTAACTAGACTGCAAGCTCAAAGGCACTTCCTCTTATTCATCTTCTTACCTCCAACCTAGCACTGTGCCTGGCACACAGGAGGCCCTCCATAAACGTTTACTGACTCAAACTGACAAACCAGTTAGGAGGTTAATAAGATGGGAAGTGACAATGATCTGAGCTGAGGGGCAGGCAGTGGTTGAAGAGCACAGAGCAGGATTTTTAAAAAAATATTTCCAAACTTTACATTATGTAATGGGTATTTTTTCTCACAAATATTTATTCTTGCCATCTTCCTTCTTCCCCACCCAAAAGCACAGCTGCAATTTCATATAACGAAGAAATAAAAGAATATGCCTACAGGAATATGCTAGTTTTGTCTAATATCTAATATTATGTTACAAAGGACATCTATAGAGAGAAAACAGAGATGGGGATGAAACTACAATTCGTCAAAACAAAATTTAGATGGAATTGTACCTATAAGAACGAGGAATACAAAAGTAAAATAAAAGGTCAAAACCCCCTTACATTCCCTCCTCCTCAGCCATGGGCTAGTATAGTTACTTTTACACCTACTCTTGTTATACCTTTATAAGCCTCTATATGTTAGAATGCATAAAATGTCATATATGTTAACAATACTCAGACACATTACTTTAAACAAAATAAGTGATGCCCAAAATCAGAGGCCAGCAAATTTTTTCTTCAAGAACCAAAAACTATATCTGCCCTGCTGCAGCTACTCCATTCTGCCACTGTGTTACCAGCAGCAGACAATATGTAAAGCAACAGGTGTGGCTTTATTCTAATAAAAAGTTATTTACAAAAATGAGGTCAGCCAGCCATGGCTGGCCCACTTTTACCCTAAATCCAACTGTGAATAACACCTAGAATTTCATTCCAATAGTTAAGGAAAACACCAAATAAAATAAAATTTTAATATAGAATAGCCTACAGTATTTTAAGAAAAGGTTTTCTAAAATCAGTGATAAAACTGTGAACTAAAACATTCCCTGAACTTTGTACTACAGAAAATGTTTGTAATTCATATAAAATGAAGAAATAGTGCCCAGAATGCATTACAGTCATCCCTTGGTATATGAAGTAGATTGGTTCCAGGACCCTGCAAAGAGACCAAATTCCAAGGACATTCAAGTCCCTTATATAAAACTAGAGGCCCGGTGCAGGAAATTCGTTCACTCGGTGGGGGGTGGGGGGTCCCCACTCAGCCCAGCCTGTGCCCTCTTGCAGTCCAGAGCCCTTGGAGGGTGTCCGACTGCTCCCCGCAGAGAGCGGCCTAAGCTGGCAGTCGGACATCCTTAGTGCCAACACGGAGGCGGGAGAGGCTCTTGCCACTGCCTCTAC